TGTGCCAGGCACTGACTGGTACTTGGCATACAATCCTGCAAAAGAGGAATAGTATTGTTAATTCTGTTGTATAGATGAAGAAACTGAGGCTCACCGAAGGTAGGTGACTTACCTAATTTATAAATTAGGTGACTCACCTAACTGGCAAGTGACAAAACCAGGATTCCAATCCAGGTCTGCACTCAGCTCCCAGGTATAATTATGCCATACTGCTACACTCTTAACAGACCATCTCCGAGTAGACATTTTCTACGGCCCATGTAACCAAGAGTACAGCTATTATTGGAGCTCCATGAGTTGCCTTATTTCCTACTTCTTTGGTGAAAAGGTGAGCTTAGAAAAGGGGTGCAGATTAGGATACACCCAGAAGGTTGGTTTGGAGAAGAGGTGCAAGTTAGAATATTAGGACACACTCACAATCTGGAAGGTTAGGAGCAAAGCTTGGCACACATGTGAAAGACTTTCCAAAGCAAAGTCATGGCTTCATGATTTGCCTGGCTTATACAAAAAAGATGACTCACACTTGACATGCAAGTGCCTCAGAAACTGCTGTCAAACTCAGAAAGGCCAGCAGGGTGCACTAGAACTCTACAAAAGACTACAGTCAATGGCGCTGCCAACATAAACCAGCAGAGGCCGCTGCAGGCAATTCTACCTCAGATCCAAGCTGGGGAAAGAGTTTTTTTCCTTTCCATGTAAAGGGAGGCAATGCTTCAGTTTCTTATCAAGCCTCCAGGAATCCATCTGGACCTCTGCCTCTCCAAGGAAAGTGTTTCTCCCAAAACGACCATGATGCCAAACTGAGAACTGCAAGGTCCTCTGAGTCAGGAGGGATTCCAGGATCTCATACTGTGAAGGGAAAGCAGAAGCCCCCAACGATTAGTTAGTGATAATTTCTTGGAAGAGATTATTCTAAAATGTGAACAACCATACCACAGTTCATAGTCCTGAATATCAAATTTCTTCAGTCCATAAGCATTTTGTGTTTCCTCATTCAAAGCCTCAACTTACCCGATTTCACAAAAACCTACCATAGTCCACAGGAGGACTTGGAAAATTAATTTTTCCTTGAGTGGGTCAGAGAACACTGGAACATCCAAAAAGAACTGCCAAGGTGACT